CCGGGGGAACCGCCCGGGGCGGTTCCCACTGCCCGGCCCCTTTAAGACAGACGGTAAGAACCCTTCTAGGCAGAGCCTAGGTAGGGAATACATTCATCCCAGACTATTTTTACTACTTTTGAATTTTCCCCGTGTAGAGGGACAGGCCTGGCTTAATACTAGACAGAAGCGACGAACATGCCCAGACAGACCTCCATCGTGCTGTGTTGTCCCAGTACGTTGGAAGCTTGGGATCTTGTGAACCCTCCTGGAAGGCCAGGGCCCCTGAAAGCCAACGTTAGAGTTAGGCCGGGCGTGATTTTGGAGGGAAAATGTATCACTGAAAAAAGAAACAAATATTCTCAACAAAAATCGGCCCCACATTTGTTTTACTATGTTTGAATATACCCCAATGTAGAGGGACTGACCCGACTTCATGTTAGAGGGGGACTGGCTCAGGTGGGGGAGCATCGACCTGGAATCGGCTAGTGAGCTTTTTGTTATTCGGCGTTTCGACATTGGGCGGAAGGGGGGGGAGGGGGAGGGGTCTGGATCTGGACCTCTGCTCAGTGCGACTGTTCGCAGCAGCGGGTCCTATGAGGGAAGATTCGACCTGCTCGAAACAGGCGCCCAAAACAGGCGCCCGCGCCGATCGGCAAAACAATGAATAACAAAACGATCACCTATTCATCGCCGATAGGGCGGCACAAGGCCCCCGAGAGCGAATCCGCACGTTCCCGGGCGAGTTGGGCCATCGGACCCCCTGTCGGCGATGAAAGGCGATTGGGGGTCGATGCATTCGCCCCTCCACGCCCTTCTGGCGCCCTGCTATCCAGGTTTGGGACTCCACAAGCGACCCGGCACGAGGACCTCGGGCGGGGCGGGACAGCCCGGGGGTTCGACCTCGGGTGCCCGGGGCTCCGGGATGCAGACCTGGAGCTTCGGTAGGCGAGGAGGTCGTCGGCCCAAGGCTCCCCGTGACTTTGCCCCCTCGTTCTCGGGACATGCCTCGGCTCTCCAGCGGCGATTCGGGACGATCTGGGCATCCCCGCGACGCTCTCGGCGAGGCAGAGCTGCTGGAGAGCATCCCGAGGCTGGAGAGCAGCCGAGTACCGACGAAGATATCCGAAAGCCTCGAAACTCGAACCTGGATCCCCCCCGAAATCGCCCCTGATCCTTAGCCCTGCTGGAGGGCCAGGGTCTCCTGTCGGGCGGGTGCTAATGGGGGTGGCCCAAATGGGGGGTGAAGAAAAGCGCCCTGAAGGAGCCCTTCAGGGCCCCTGCTGGCGCCCTCTTCCTCACCCCTCATTTGGGTCACCCCCCAGTTGGGTCACCCCTAGGGGAACGAAGAATGGCAGAAACATTAAAAATCGAAGGTCCGCGCGGATTTCTCGGATCGGCGCTGGACCCCCCTCCCTGGCGCGCGGAGCGCGCCAGGGGCGGCGAGAAGTCCGCGCGGACCTCCGAGTTTTTATGTTTAACTATGTTTATGTCATTATTCGTTCCCCTAGGGGTGACCCAACTGGGGGTTGACCCAAATGAGAGGTGAAGAAGAGGGCCCTCAAGGGGCCCTTCAGGGCCCCTTGTGGCGCCAGCAGGGGCCCAGAAGGGGCCCTTGAAGGGCTCCGTCAGGGCCCCTTTCTTCAGCCCCCACCTGGCCCTGACCTTACAGGAGGGCTGAAACATGGCAGCAGGACCTCGACATCTCGATTCCTGTTGAGGTCTTAGGCAGTCCAGATAGGTCTGTAGGTCTGGAGGGCTAATTTTTCAGCACTCTGGAAGGTCAGGGGGGCCACCCCCCATTGGCACCCGCTCGACAGGAGACCCTGGCCTTCCAGGAGGGCTAAGGATCAAGGCTAAGCACCCGCCCGCCCCATCGGGGCATGTGCGCGGCCCAGCGGGGGGGCCAGGGACGTAATGAAATAAGAAGAGGCGCCATAGAATCTGGGGAACTATCATGGCCCCCGCCATGATATCCACCCCCCCCTAGTCATCACCCCCCTCTTTTCCGCCCCCGACCCCAACCTCATGCTCCCCCCCCCCCCCTGCCGGTCTTCGGCGGGCTCGGCTCGGCGGCCCCCGCGCCGCCGTAGAGCAGCCGGAACCTCTCCGCGCTGGGCACGAGCCCGACGTGCCCCACGCAGGGCTCCTCCGCGGCGGCCGCGCCGCCGCCGCCGCCGACGACGACGACGACAACGACGACGTTCGAGGCGTTCGGCCGGTGGTCCGTCGGTCCCTGGAGGTTTTCCAGCCCCCGGGTGCTCTCCAGGAGCTGCGCCTCGGCGCCCGAGTTCCAGGGGGGCCCGGGCCGTCCTGAACGGCCGCCAGAGGCTCGGGTGTGTGGCTCGAGAAACGCCCATCCCATAGGTCCGACGATGTGGTTTCTCAGCCCCGGCGTTCTTTCTCGACTTCGGCCCCTGGGGCCCAAATGCCTGGCCCCCGGGCCCTCAACAACGGATCCTGGGCGAAGGGCGCAGGGAAGGGGATTGGGAGCTCTGGGGCCGCAGATTGGAACAATCATGTCGGACGATCTTTGGGATCAAAGTCGTCGTCGTCGTCATCGTCGTCGTCGTCGTCGTCGTCGTCGTCGTCGTCGTCGTCGTCGGCGTCGGCGTTGGCGTCGGCGTCGTCGTCGTCAAAATCCGGACGTGCAAAATCTTTGCCATCTTCGGCATCGGGGGGTGCCCCGGGGTGCCGGCGGAAGCCGGTCATGGCACGAGGGAACGCAGTACGAATGGCAAGCGGGTCGAGCCTCGGGCAGTCATCCGGAGCGATTCGAACGCCCTCGGCGAGGGCCCGCGGAGGGCGAAAACCTCCGTGTGGGTTTTTGGCAAGACGTCGGAAATCTGGGATTCTCACAAGTCGGTGGCTGGGTGGCCTGAATCGATGTCGTCGTCGAAATCCCGCTTCTTGCGCTCCCAGGCCCCCGCCGTGAATTATGAATGACACAACATAGACCCCCACCGGAATCACCCCAGATGGTGTTAAGGGGGTATGGAAGTTACAAGCTTCGTCTCGGGCCCAGCGAGGGCCCGCGGAGGCAGACATTTAACCGACATCGACTGTTGTGTTTTTTCGCAACCCCACACGGGGTCTGGATCCTCCGTCCTCAAAGTCCTCGATCCTCCTCCATCCATCCATCTACCCTCACTCTGTCCTCTATCCCCTTCCAACCCTCCATTCGTCCCCCTCGACCACTGAGATAACCACGATGATTGTTAATGGGATGGGGGGTATCAATGGACGCTGACTGAGGTGGGGTATATATATATATATATATATATGTTCCGGACGGCTTACGAGAAGGTCACAGATGGCTATAGCGGCTTAGGCTGGGTAGAGATCTGGGCTATGTGGGCTCCGCCGTGTTAGTGGAGATAATTGATTCCCCGCGGCCAGCTCGGGCACGGGCAGCCCACTGCTAAGCCCGGCTAGACCAGATACAATCCACCTGAGCATCCACGCGATAGAGGCTGCTTATCCTTACTCCAGCGAGTTCACTTGCATTACGGAGGGGGTGGGGGCGTGGCGAGGGCCGGAAGGAAAGCACGCACGCCTTCCCGACCCAGCGCTGCTCACAAAGGCGGCGAAGGAGGGGTAGCTCCACTTGAGGAGGAGGAGGAGGAGGAGGAGGAGGAGGAGGAGGAGGAGGGAGGAGGAGGAGGAGGAGGAGAGAGGAGGAGGGGAGGGGAGGAGGAGGAGGGGAGGAGGAGGAGAGGAGGAGGAGGAGGAGGAGGGAGGAGGAGGAGGAGGAGGAGGAGGAGGAGGAGGAGGAGGAGGAGAAGGAGGAGGAGGAGGAGGAGGAGGAGGAGGAGGAGGAGGAGGACCCCCTCCAACAGCCGTCTAACCCCTCGAGCCAATTAGCCCCCCCCGCGGTGATCTCAGCACTCGACCTGCCCCAGCCCCCCGCGCGCCCTCGGCGCCAGCGAGCGGCCGAGGCGCGCAAAAAACGCGCGCGCGCGAGCGCGTGGCCCGCCGGAGCCCCGCGGAGGACCTCCCGAGGGCCGCCGGAGGGCCGCCGCGGGCCCGCCGAGGGGCCGCCGAGGGGCCGCCGAGGGGCCGACGTTGCACCCCATCGACAACACGACGCTCGCGCGCAGCTCTGCCCCAGCCTCGGTCGCGAGGGCTTTGCCGCCGAGGGCCGCCAGGAGGGGTCGCCACGCGGAGCCTCCGAGGGCCGCCGAGGGGCTGCACCCGACGGCCGTCGGAGGCCGCCGCCCCGAAGGCTCCTCGAAGCCGCAGCCGGCCGCCAGGAAGGTGCCGTAGCGCGGGTGCGCGGCGGCCACGCCGCTCTTGCGGATGTCGGCGAGCTGCCTCGCCCGCGGGGTCGGGAAGCGTGCCCCAAATCCCTTTAAAATCGTCCCCCGGGTCCGGTTTCGTGAGGCGCCTGTTTTGTAATGCTGTGGGCCTCTCGGTGGGGCCTTCTCGGCGCCACGGCTAGATCCGCGTCGGACAACGGATCAGAATGGATCTTCCGAGGGCTCTGGGGATCTACTACCTTGAATGGACTTGAGCCGGGCGGGAGAGCCGCCGTTGTCGCAACTGGCCCTCCCCGAAAAGCCCCCGCAGCTGCCCAGGGGGTTCAGAAGAGGGCGCTTCGCCAGCTGATCAGATACTCCAAATCCCTTCTTAATCGTCCCCCGGGTCCGGATTTTAAGGCACCATTTTTGTAACTGGAGGGGTCCGGTTTCTTGGGGCGCCTTTTTTTTGGGTTGGAGGTTTGGGGGTCCGGTTTATTAAGGCGCCTGGTCGAAGAGGGGGGTCCGGTTTGTTTTGGGGGGGGGAGGGTCGATTGATAAGGGATTTGGAGCAGCTAGGCCCTGATGCGCTGTTCGAAAATGCAGCCCCCGCGGGGATCACCCCTCCAGCAAGGACCTCTGGGGCATCGCAGGCCTCAGACGCGGCAGCCAGAAACTGGCTTGTGGCCTTTGCTGAGCACGCAGGCCTGGCCCTCCTCCTGAGCACAGAAAGCCACCAGATATACCGTCAGCGCGTGGACCTAAGGAACCCTAAATAAGGAACGAGGCCACCTTTGTCCATCGCAGCCTGAGGAAAACCGAAGGCAAACGGCGAAGCAGCTAAGGAACAATGAGCCCCTCCCAAACGAAAAGGGTTCCTTCTTCAGCGCGCCAACTGTAAGGAACGCAACGGGCACATCTGCCGCCTGGGCGGGCCTGGGGGGGGAAGGCGAAACCAGGATCGAAGATCTCTCCGGACGCTTCTGCGTGGGATAGATGGCGGATCGCAGAGTGTGGAGGAGGAGAAGGAGAGAGGAGGAGGAGGAGGAGGAGGAGGAGGAGGAGGAGGAGGAGGAGGAGGAGGAGGAGGAGGAGGAGGAGGAGGGAGAAGGAGGGAGAGGAGGAGAAGGAGGGAGGAAGAGGAGGAGGAGGAGGAGGAGGAGGAGGAGGAGGACGAGGAGGTTGGGGAATCATTGGTCACCAAATCCTAGCCTGAGCCTTCAAATGTGTTGCCACCCTTTTTTGCAAGGCTGGTCGTCGCCGACCCCTCGGCGTGTGAGACGCTGTCGTCGTCGGCGGCGTCGTCGTCGCCAGTCCCAAAGAAACTGAGAAACCAGGACTAATCAATCAAGCAGATCCCCTTCCGGCGCCGACCGTCAGGCCTTCGCAACAATAGCCTGAATGTTCGAGTGTGTTGCCACCGTTTTGCAAGGCTGCTCGTCGCCACGACTGGATCCACCTAGGTTCACGTGGTGATGTTTGAGGGGTGCTTCCTGAGAATTTTCTTAGGGTAGAGGGCGCAGTGTGAAATCCACATGGGCTTGTGTGCCTCGAAAAGCAATCCGTCTTGTGATTCACCGTTTGCAGATTCCCTCGAAAACCAATCGAAACGGCATTTCAGATTTCACCCTTTGCCCTCCACCCGAAGAAAGTGCTCGCTGTTCTTGAAAGAGGAGAGTGGGTTGAGGATGTGGATGAGGATGATGAGCATGAGGAGAACGAACGAACAAACGACAACGTCTTGACGGCCAGAGACAGGCGCGGCCGCAGGGACTGGGGCAACGTTGGATCGCACATCCAGCGAGTCGGCCACCCTGAGAGGAGGAGGGGAGGGGGGCAGAGTACGACTCGACGAAGAGACAAAAGCGAGATCATGAGGAGGAGGAGGAGGACGAGTAGGAAGAGGAGTAGGAGGAGGTTAAGTTTGGAGGTGACTCCGAATGGCAACCCCATGTACAGGAGGCCGTGGGCTGTCAAGCGCCCCTGCGAAAATATGGACGCGGGCCCTGCCTCGCAGAGGCCTTCCTGGGGCGCCGCCTTGGGGCCTCAGAAAAATCGCGGGGGGGGGGGGCGGAATGCGGCTTTCTTCGAGCCCTGCTACTCGTAGTCCGAGGGGGGTTAGTACCCCTGGCCTCCTTTGGGGGCAAGGGTCCCACCCCAAGCAGGGGGGAGGGAACGACGCGCGACCGCTCTCGACGACAGGAGGAGGAGAAAGAGGAGGAGGAGGAGGGGGAGGAGGAGGAGGAGGAGGAGGAGGAGGAGGAGGAGGAGGAGATAAATGAGGATGATGATGCTGCTGCTGCTGCTGCTGAGGAGGAGGAGGAGGAGGAGGAGGAGGAGGAGGAGGAGGAGATAGAGGAGATAGAGGAGGAGGAGGGAACGCTGCCTCGGGGGCAAGGTCGGGCAACAATATGTGAAGGCGCCCCCGCCGTCGCCCGATGGGGCGGCGTTTTCAACTGGGGAGGCGTGGGGCAGCGCGCCCCCCCCCCCTCCCTTGCTGGTTTAAGTCGGGCGTGTCCTCATACAGGCTGAGTCGGGTCCAGCGATGCAGAATACCCAGAACATGCTCCAAAATGCTACACACAAATGTTCAAGCAATCGTCCCTATACTATCTTTACAATGTTCGAATATGCCTCCTGTGGAGGGACAGACCCGGCTTAATCATAGGCTGACGAAGCACGCAGCCAGTTCATCCTCCATCTCTCTCGCTGGGGCCTTCCCCTCGTCCACAATGGCTCCGATCTGCTGCAGCGCTCGACGGGTGTGTCTTTGATCCCCGCCTGCTGTTGGTTCTCCACTGTAGTTTCCTCCTCCGCTTCCGCGTCCGTCCAGGGGCCTGGTTCGATGTAGATGGTGGGGTTGGCTGGTTTGCCGTCGTGGCCTTTGCTTGCCTTGATGCGCGCGACCTTCGCCAGAACTTGATGTGCCCATACTTGTCGATGCGCCTGCCGTGGTCGGTGAGGATCTGCCTGGAGTTGCCGATCACGTCCTCGGATGAGATGGTCTGAATGAGCGTCGTGCAGACGTGCCCACTCTGGTGGTCTGAAAATATGGCCCTTGCCCGCTTCCGTGAATTGTCGGCATCGGTTTCCCTGCAGTTTCTGAATGATCGCCGCGCGCTCCACTGGGGTGACGTAGACGCTGTAGACCGCTGTCGCGGCCATGGCCAACTGCTGCGTGTTGGCGAGGACCTGCTCGAAGAGCACCGCGAGGGACTTCTTCAGCTTGGCGCCAGTCTTGGCTTGGTACTCCTCTGCCCGTCGCTTGCGTCTGGATGACGCT